GAGGTCATACTGCCTCCGTCATCAGGGCGATGAGTACGAAGAGTTCTGTCTTCTGGGTTGTTGTGCTGTGTAGTCTGGTCGATGTTAACCAACGTTTCAGAGGTCATACTGCCTCCGTCATCAGGGCGATGAGTATGAAGATTTCTGTCTTCTGGGTTGTTGCGCCTTGTAGTCTCGTAGAGGTCCTTGCTACCTCCATCATCATGTTCTTTATAAACTTCCGGCCGGTGTTTTTGCAGGTTACGGTATCGTGACGGGATGGGGTCGGCTGACGGAAAACGGCAATCTGCCGCATCTACTGCAGATGGTATCATTGCCGATCATTCCGACGTCCGAGTGCCACGACATGTACGAGAAGCTTGGGTACGCCAAATACCTGAACCAGTGTCAGCTTTGCGGTGGCTTCGAGGAAGGAGGCAGCGATTCTTGCCAGGTAACTTCACGTCTGAATAATTCCTTAAAACTTTAGCCTCAATTATAAGCCATTAGATAAACTTGTGCACAGATTAATTTACGATGTAACGCGAGGTAGAATTTCATGCACTAAGATATATGACACCGTTTCCTTTTGTGAGCAGAATCATTGTCTAACTAACTCCCTGGTTATAGAACCCGCAGGTCCAACATCCACAACACCAAAGCCCGCCACCGGCCACGATCCTGAGCCAACTTCATCAATTTGCCATCCTTATAGTCCACCTCCCTAAGATCCATCTTGATTTTACCCTCCCATATCTTCTTCCATAAAGATTCCCTACCAGAATTCTGTATGCACCCCTTGTTCCCCGTTCTTGTACATGTCCAGCCCATCAGAGCCTCCTATATTTCTCTATCCTCACTATGCTAGGTGACCCGTACAATTCACGCAGCCCCTCGTTACGCAATATTGTAAATTCCCTACTTATTTCATCCCTACTAGGTCTAAATATCCTCCTGAGAATAATAACGGATTTAGAGCGAAATTTGTAAATCTTAAAATTACTTCATCGGTTGGTTTATTTATTGTTTATTTATTTAAGAGGAATTGCAAGCAGAAAATCTGAAAGATGTTTCACAATTTTACTCCATATTTCTACGAAAGAAACAAAACAAAAGAAAGGCACGAGGCATGAAGAAACAACAGAGGCCTAGAAGTTCATAATAATGACGCCAGATGGCAAAATGTTCTATTCGTAAGTGCTAGTAGAATTAGGCAACTTTTAAACGTATTTTCTTAGTTACGGGCGTTTTGGTAGTGCGATTTCGGAATGGCGTGTGCATCAAATTTTGCCAAAGACTCGCCAAAACGGCTACGGAAACCTATGAAATGCTCAAGCAAGCATTTGGGGAGTCCGCAATGGGTCGTGCACCAACTTTTGTGTGGCATTCACGTTTTAAAAATGGCCGAACCTCTGTCGATGATGACGAGCGTTCTGGACGACCATCTTCGAGCACAACGCCCGAAAATGTTACGAAGATCGACGTCGTACCATCAACGACTTGTGCGACATTGTTGGGATAGGCTATGGGACCTGTCAGCTGATTCTAAAGGAAGAACTCCACATGCGACGCATCATGACAACGCACCAGCGCACACCGCCTTCAAAGTTCGGCAGTTTTTGGCCTCAGACACCATGGCCGTCATCCCACACCATCCTTATTCGTCGTGTGACTTCTTCCTCTTCCCAAAGATGAAAATTCAGCTAAAGGGATGGAGATTTGAGACGATAGAAGAGATTCAGGCAGAATCGCAGATGGTGCTTGACCGGCTGACAAAGAAAGATTTCCAGGGATGCTTCCAGGCTTGGCAGCGGCGCTGGGATCGTTGTGTTCACTCCCAGGGGAACTACTTCGAGGGTGATAGATGAATTTAATACCTGAGATAAGTGTACGGATTTTTATACGCCCAGTCTTGAAACTTTCCGATCGCACCTTGTATATGTGACGAAAATAAGGTAAATGGGAAATAAATAATGAAGAGGGGAAGGAGAAAGAAGGTGCGAGAGGGATAAAGTAAAATATAAAAGCGGGTATGTGATGAAGATACCAAATAAATCATTCCCCATTGAATTTCAACGTACTTGTTTAACTGGTGTTCAAAATGAGTGTTAAGAATCTTGGTGAGATCTATGTTTTATGTCATACTTGCATCCATTCTTTGCATCTGTTGAGAAATATAGTAAATTACATTTTATTTTTATGTAAATTAGTGTTCATAGAGGACTGATTAGGATCAGAATAACTTTTGCTCCACTGCTTATAGCAAACCCACGTCCCGACACATTCGAAAATTAGTCGAATTCCATAAATCGGCTCTGGATAAAACAGATATACCATAAGTATTATGTGTTTATTATGAGGGCTTCTGTATGAAAACAATGCGTGGTGACGGACACAGAATCCAACGGCCGATTTTCAGTCAAGGAGTGTGATGAATTTTTAACAAAGACGCGAACTTTGTCGTCATTTGAAGTCCTACCCAGCTGACAAATTAAGGTCTCATACATTGGCATCCCTGTTGTAAGACTCGCAACAGAGCGCGGCTAGACATTCGGTTCACCAGGAGACAACCAAAACGTGCAGACAAGTTCTATAACTACCCATGGGATATAAACAGTGTGTAGCCTGTTAAGAGCGTTCTTGTAAATATCGACTTCTTATACATTTCGCGTCATGAGATTTAATTACTCTCTGCATAACAAATGTACATATTGTTCATTTATCAGACAAGATTTATTTGTGCAAGGCACAAGTGGCCTTGCTGAGTACATATCACATTGATGCATCATCAGGAAACAAAAAACTGTCTAAGTTGTTTCCTACGTCAAATGGGGCCTCGTCTTGAGAACGAAGTTTTAGGTATTGTGTAGCAAGTGTGTGATTAAATACAGAGGACAAGTGAGGCAGGAACAGGATGATGGCTTATATTTAGTAGGTAAGTCATTATAATGTCTTATAAAATTTTTTTTGGTTATGTCACAACGGAAAAGAGCAGTTTTTAATTTGAACGTTTATTCAAATGTAATAGCTCGATAACTACTAAAGTGATTTTATTGACATTTTCATACCGGGGAGTTACTAAAATTTGTCGACCCATTACAATTTCTGTTGAAATAAGACAAAAATAACACACTCTTACGTGAATTTCTAATTAGGTTTCTGCTGTTATTCCTAATATTATTACATAACTGGGAACTTCTTATTAGTTAAACAGGTCAAGATTTTGTTACGATAGTGAAATACGTAAGAATTTTGGTGGGATATCTCTTGGTAAACGATCACATTGTAGACCTAGTAGGAGATGGAAGTAATCAATTAATATGAGTCATAGGGAGTGGGATTTGGGTATGGAAGGTAGATGAAATTGGCTCAAAATCGTGCCCAAAGGCAGTCTTTGGTGTTAACGGTGTTTAACCTACGCGTTCTGTTTCAGAAGAAGTAGTTTCAATAAATTATTTCGGGAAAATACCTTTTAAGAAATGTTACAGAATGTTTCTCATACACCGTCTATCTAATAAGGGCTGCAGATCGCAAATTCTATTATTCTTTTGTATCATTCTGACTTTTATTCTTCATTTTAGGTTAAGGGGTGGTGACTTTGAAATGAGATAAGTACGTATTACATCCCTTTGTTTCGAACCAGCCGTTTCTAAACTACTAACAAATTTTTAAGATTAGTCACGACCGCCAGGATCTAACCCAAGATATTTGGACCACCGTTGCATAGTGGTCTCTAAAATAAAGAAACTATTTCAGTGGAACTGCGCGTATCTAAAACAAACTTCAGACAATGGACAGGGCCAAACATAATTTATAATGTAACGGGGGTAAGACATGAAGAATTAGAAGTAAAAATTATCAGAAATTGTGAGTAAGTAAAGATTTAGTAGGATTTAAGTTTTTCACGGCGGTGAGTATGAAGATGGTGTCTTCTGGGTTGTTGCGCTGTGTAGTCTGGTATAAGTTTACAAACTTCTCAGAGGTCCTTGCTGCCTCCATCATCAGACCGATGAGTAATCTACACGATAAAACAACCCAAAATACAGCCATCTTAGATTTGCCTGTCTCCAGCCATTAACCCGGCATATGCCAAAGAGATCGAGGGAAATTATCTGGTGATTTCCGTCTGTGCAATCAGTCATCGTGCATGCCTATAAATATTCATTTATATTTACTTCTTTGAAATCGCCGTATGTATAATATTACGCACCATATAATTTGTACAAGTTCTAAGCAATTTATAGCCTAGTGATTTTCCAGGGATTAATACGATAGATGATGTCATTACAGATAACCTTTTCCTTATACGGACATTTTAACAGGTCACTGAGCTGAATGCTTTTAAAGGAGTATGGTATTCATATGCCATTTAGTAGCCGGAATAAATAAATAAATTTTATTGTCAGCGTAGACGAGAACATTGCAGCTGTGATGTTGCGTGACCAGCAGCCCCACAAATCTTGGGTCAGCTTTGACATTGACGCAAACTGACTACGGACTGGACGACCTTGGTTCAGAGGTCCTTGCTGCCTCCATCATCAGAGCGAATGCCCTAAACGGTGCAACTACCCAGAAGACAGTCATCTTCATCTCATTTTTTTAATTTATTATTGACTGCAAATGGGTTTTTACCCGGTGGCAGTGGTCCTACAATAAGACACAAAACAATAAGACACAAGAAAACAATGAGACAGAACAGAACAATGAGACACAACGAAACAATGAGACAGAACAAAACAATAAGACACAAGAAAACAATGAGACAGAACAGAACAATGAGACACAACGAAACAATGAGACAGAACAAAACAATGAGACACAACAAAAAATAAGACACAAAAAACAAAAGACACAACAAAAACAATAAGACACAACAGAACAATAAGACACAACAGAACAATGAGACACAACAAAACAATGAGACACACTCAAAATAAAACAACTCAGAAGATTACAAACCATAAGACAAAAGTATTTAAACACAACAGATAACCTAAAGTACATAACTTAAAAATTAATACAAACTAGACGTAAGACAGTAACAGTAATGAATTACATACGTCATGAACTGATGCACTCACATTTCATCAGGACCTTCTCTTCACCTCATTTATCACTTTTCTAACCTTCTTCCTAAAAGTACTTGGTTGGCAGGAGAGAGTCCCTAAAACCTCAGCAGGTAGCTGGTTCCAGAGTCGGATGGTCCTATTTACAAAGGAATATTTCCCGATATCTGTTCTTTGCTTTCTGCTCCTTGTCTCAGTCAACCTGTACGGTCGCCCAGGGCAGGATTTGAACCGATAACAACCAGAAGACGATACACTAGGCCTAATGATAGTCACAAGACCACAATGCAAGTTGTGTTTTTTCAGACAAGTCTAACGAATGCACAGAAATCTTACGCACTTACGCAACAAGACACGTCTACGAGTCCTGACGCTGTGGAACACAAAC